GGGTAGATCTTCTAGCTTACCCTCATCTGAGAAGACCTTAATTTCCCCTTAGTTCCTGAAGGATATTCCTACTAGATACAGAATTCTTACAGTTCTTCCCTTTCAAAAATGTGCCACTTTCTTTTGGACTTGTGAGGAATTTGCTGACTGAATTGTTCCCTCCCATAGGGAAGGTATCATTTTTGAGTTTTTTTTTTTTTTTTTCTTAAAATAATTATATTTAACTTGACGAGAGACAGAGAGGGAAAGTGAGAAGCAAGTTGCCAGGCCCAAGACTCGAACCTTGGTCAGCCATGTGGGAGTCCAGCACCCTAACCACCATGCTACCTGCGGGCCCCCGAGTGTTTTGTTTTAACCTTTAGTTTTCAGTGTGTTTAGTGTGACTATGACATGACTTGTCAATTTCTTTGGATTTATACTGTTCGGTGTTCACTGAGCTTCTTGAATCTGAAAGTCTATCTTTTGTCATTTCTTGTGAATTTCCAACCATTATTTCTCAACTGCTTTTTCAAACCCATCCCTATTTTTTCTTTCTGTGATTCTAATGATACAAATCTTAATTTTTAAAAAATGGTACTACAGGAACCAGCAGTTGGCGTAATGCCTATGTTGCTGGACTCCCATGTAGTCAACTGCCATTTTGAGTCCCAGACCCGGTGGCTTAAACTCATGCCTGGTGTGTGTGCATGTGTGATTTCTTGCTTTCTATCTCTTTCTGGTGAGCACATGTGCCCTCTAGCAAAAAATCTCTCAAAATAAATAAATAAATAAATAAATAAGATACTATAGGTCCCTGAGTTTGTCTGTTTTTTGTTGTTCAGATTCATTTTTTCTTCAAGTTCCAGAATGTTTTGTTCTCCATTTTAAAGTTTATTATTTACCTGTTTGTTTTTAATTTGCCAGGAGGCACACACCCTCACACGAGAAAGAGAGAGAGAGAGGGGGGGGGGGGGAGGAGAAATAGAAAGTGAGAAAGCACTCCCTGTGCCCCTACATGAGGCATGGTCCCACTGCAATCCCATTTTTCCATTTGGGATTTGGCACACATGTGCACACGTGGCTAGTTGTTTCTCAAGCTTCCAGGCCTGGTACTTGAACTGCTGGCATGTGGGATACTGCTCTTTTCATCAGTAGGCCACAGGCTATCCCTATTTTTACTTTCTTTTTCCATGAGTGAGACAAGGACAGCACCCCAACAGGTCCTGACACCTCAATTCACCAATTTCAGGCAGCCTCAAATTACCGCCACGTGGTGCCTGTTAGGGAGCTCTCTGGACACAAACCCAGCCTTATAGTGTCATGTTTTACTGCCATGCCATTGTCTGGACCTCCCTCCACTGCTCTTTAAAAATTTCCATTGGTCAGGTTGAAAAAAAAAAAAATTTTTTTTTAAGCTATAGGGCGCGTGCGCTCACCAGAAAGACAGAGAGAGACAGAGAGACAGAAAGCGAGAAATCACCCCCCAGGGGGGATGGCCATGCCGCACTCCCTTCTCCTCTTGGGATCTTGGGCGCGCACATGCGCCCGGAGTGCGTTTAAGCCCCCGGGTCCAGGACTCAAACCGCGGTGGACTATGTGGGAGTCCAGCGACATGGCCATTAGGCTAACTGCTGGTCCCGAAAAAATTTTTTTCTGTTGGTGGTACCAGAAAAAAGGTGGCATGGTGGTTAAAGTACTGGATTCCCATGTGGCCAACATAGTTTGAGTCCCAGACTTGGTGGCTTAACAATCATACCAGGTGCATATGCACCCAAAATCTTGAGAGAATGGAGGAAAAGGGGAGCCAGCAGGTGGCATGGTGGTTAGGTGTTGGACTCCTATGTGGCTGTCCTCTACCATGGTTTGAGTCCTAGACCAGGTAGCTTGCTTTCTCACTTTCACTCTCTCTCTGATAAATTAAACAATAATAAATAATATTAAACAAATAATTTGGGACCAGCAGTTGGCGTCGGCTATGTCGCTGGACTCCCATGTAGTCGACTATGGTTCAAGTCCAGGACCCAAGTGGCTTAAACTCATGCCAGGCACGTGTGCATACATGCCCAAGATCCCGACAGGAGAATGAAGGAGAAGGGATTGTGGTATGGCCATCCCCCCCGGGGGGGTGATTTCTCACTTTCTGTGTCTCTCTTTCTGTCAAGTGCACGCATCCTATATCAAAAATAAAAGCAAACAGGGACCAGCAGTTAGCGTAATGGCTATGTCACTGGACTCCCACATAGTCGACTGCGGTTCGTGTCCCGGACCCGGTGGCTTAAAACTCACACCAGGCATGTGTGTGTGCGTGCGTGCTCAAGATGCCGAGAGGAGAATGGAGGAGAAGGGATTGCAACGTGGCCATCCCCCCGGGGGGTGATTTCTCACTTTCTGTCTCTCTGTCTCTGTCTGGCGAGTGCACACGCCCTA